GTATCTCTGTCTGTGTCTGCCCTCTCTCTCTCTCTCTCTCTCCCTCTCTCTCTCTCTCTCGCCTTCCCCTCCGCGTTACCGCATCTTCGAGTTAGCGATTTGCAAACTCCAGCCCCTATGCCATCGAGTAATTAACATCTGCGGGCACGCACGAAACGAGATCTCTCGATAGAGATGGTAAACGAGATGGCAACGACATATTTGTTATATTTATTAAGAAAATAAAAGATCAAATTTAAATGTAGAAAAAAATGTAGAAATGTAAAAAAAAATAAATAGTCTAAGTTCCTACTAAAGGAATTCCATAAAATAATAAGCGTAACGTAAATAGAAGAGCTAGGTAAGAAACCAAACGAGTAAAGAAAGAATAGAAGATTTCATTATTAGTTTCAATACGTTGATGAAATAATAACTCAGCTATAATCAGATAAAAACAAGATAGTTTGAACAGAAAAAAATAGCTTTGTTTTCTCACGATGGAAAAGTGTCTCCAACGGGAGTAAAAGACATGATAAGAAAAATCATTAAAATAATCTGTGGCGAGATATCTGATACGATACACATACATCAGCACGCTTGGTACCGATCGACCTTTCTTCGACGGACATCGAGCTAATTTAAGAGCTATACAGTTTTAATCATCTGATAAAGCACGAGGAGGGACGCGCTCGAGCGATTAACGTGGCGGCGGAATTATGTCTGTGTCCGGTTATCCTCATTGCGTCTCAAAGGTCGTCGTAACGGCTTATCGAGGCGCGATAACGAACACAGGCGAATTACGTTTCTAACGAGATTGTACGATTTGGCAACAATGAGCAATCATGGATATAGTATATGCGATAAGCGGACGAATCTTCGTCTTCCAATCTCGAAGCACTCGAGGCGCGATCTAGCCATCTCTTGATTTTTCTGCTTCGTTTGCTCGCTTCGAGATTCACAAGGAACGTTCGTTCAGTTCTTTTTCGTGCGCTCCACGTCGTTCTCATCATCGTCGTCTTCGTCGTCATCTAGGCTCGTGCTGCCGGGACGGGGCTTCTTGTCGGGGAAACGACGTCACAAGGGGGGTGGAATGGAAAATTCCCTCCGCACGTAGAACAGAATGTAAGGCTTACATTTAGCAACAGCATCGGTAGTTGCGGGCCGTACCGAGCTGTCGTTAAAATGGAACCACTGGCCGTCATGCACGGCAAAGGCAGTGTAATGTCCAGTACCGGCACTGCAACACATAATTTTACAATGTAAATACAATTATCGACTAACACTCCTTTTCGTTAAAGCTATGCACATTTCTGAAATTGAAAGTGAATTCGACTGGACGCATAGCGCAAACTGGTTCACGTGAAATTTTTTGCATTTTACTTTTACACTCAGGTTAAATCAATGTACAACGTCAATGTACAACACAAGGCTTTAATATGTACTAGTACGTTCAATCAAATTTGCTAAAAATAAGTTTAAATTTCAGACGTATATTTTTGGAATATTTAATTACTGACTGATAAAGTAAGATGTTCAAATATGCACAATTAAAAATTGATTATCCGGGATACAGAGAATTATATCGATGATTTTTTTCAGGCTATTCTTCAAACTGATATGCCAATACTAGTTTCACAATTTGTTGTCCAAATATAAATTTTTAATACCGTAATGTGTGCTAAAACCTAGGTAACAGTTTGGAGAAATCATCGATAATGAATTGACTGTACGTAACAGTAGAAATTTATTTATTTTCGAAATTAAGTAAGCGATATTGCAAGTATTGCAGCGCAATTTAATAATCGTTAAATACATTCGAGAAAACGGTAAAAATAATATTTCAAAATATAAATTATGTAGAAGACAATGCTATCTTATCGCATATCAACGTTGCGCGTTAGTCGTTACTATGGGGAAAGTTTCGATCGTCGACATGTTTCCATCGTCGGATAACCGATTTAATTAGAAGCGTTGTCAGCAAGGGGACGTACCCAGAACCATGGTGCACGATAACAGCAGCCAAGTCGTAAAGATGACTATTCTGAGCGCCCAATCTCGTCCCGGTCACGCCGCGCACGGTGAACGCTGACATATCGAGAGATTCCATCGGGAAATCCACCTGCGTGTCCACCTTCGAGCGATAGGAATTGCACCACCTAAATCTTTTAATGTGAAGGCACAACACCTGTGGAAAGAGCGAGAGCATCGATTAGCGCATCATACGTCAGACTTATTTCTCCGCTCGATCAAAGTTCTCTTTTCGGGTCACGAACTTTAATTCACGCGAACTATATCGATCGGAACACGCACGTCCACGAATAAACTAAACTTACTAAACATTTAGCAAAATTAGAACAACGTCGAAAAAATCGTGCACGTTAGAGAAGAGAAGTGGAAGTGCAAAGAAGATTTTTAAAGTTAAGGATTTTAATTTTTTTTTTTTTTTTTCGAAAAAGTTGTAAGAATTCCTTTGCACTGAAATTTCTTGAAAATAAAATGTCAACTCGAATTAATTTTATTTTTATTGAATTTTATTTTTATTGTTTTTAAAGATACGATACTCACGTTAGGCAGCCTGTGTATCCAGAACCTCTTGGTAGACCTCTGCTTGCCCATGCAATTGTCGCAGAAGTAGAGCTCGCTGTCGGCCAGCTCTTCAACCTTAAAGAATCTCGTCAGACTGTAAGTCAAACTGCACACTTCCTCCTGCTCCTTCGTCCTGCTTCTCTGCAATCGGTCCGGTATGTCCAGCGAGAGGTCCTGGAAAGGCTCGTGCGTCTTCGAGTCCGTACGACAGTTCATACAGTGGACCTGCGCGAGGAAACGCGATCCATAATTCGTCCGCGCTTCTCCCAAGAAGAAAACGAAGAAGAACGTGACTTTGGCAAGCGACACCAGTCTCTCGAGAGCGCAGAAATTCCCTCCTGCCAAAGAGGCTGCGAGGACGTTCGTTTCGCACGCAATCGAGACTCGCTGTCTGGCGATCGGGTTGTTCAACTTACCACGCTAAGAAGAGTGCCTCCAAACACGGCAGTGACAATACTCTGTTTGCCGCGCAATCCTAGAGGCTCGTGTCCCAGCCTGGGCAGCAGCTGTAGCAGCTCGGTGTGTAGTCGGTCGAGCATGTAGGTGAGAAATTCGTGGGCGTCCTGCTGCTGGTAGCCCCGAAATCTCGGCACGACCTTCCAGATGGCTAGAAACAGGCACTCGGGCGATATCGCCTGGCCATTGGAACCACCCAAACTTAGACCGAGTAGCACCTTTCGTAGTTCCTCGGCGAGGAGAGCGTCGCTCATAGACATCTCCTTCGCGCGACCCGGAGTTACGATGCGGCCGCGGTGCGTGGGCGGCCCCGTAGATTCGTCGAAGGCGATACCCTCGAGACACGGCATTTGCGTGAGATACTCGCAGAAGTGGCTGATGTTGTTGAAGGATTGCAGCACCACGTTCATGAAGCAGGTATTACCGAGATTTCTCAGACCGACAACCTTTTTCTCTTTGGTACTTTTGGAGCTGCGACGCTTGGCCGGCCGATTATCCGCGCTGCTGGCGTCCAGCGAGTGTAACCTCTTGCGAGCCGTCCTCGGTCGTAAATTCCTCACGACCACCTCTGCCTTCCACAAGGCGTCCGGATCGTTGTCGTGATCATCCCCGCCGTCGTCCCGCGTTCTCGAAGACGGCGGTGTCGTGGGCGGTGACGTGCTCCAACTTTCATCGTTCTCCTTGTGCTCGTCTTTACGAAAGGTGACGCGTCGTATCTTCTCGATCTGGCCATTCGTGGTGTCGTTCACCACGTATTCATCGCAAGTGTAACTGGAAGAAGCGAAACACGAGGCATGCAGTTTTTAGAATAGAAACCAATGACGTATTCATGTTCGTATTACGACACATGAAGATCTCTATATACTTCGATCTATTAATAAACTTATTGATTTATTCATAAATAGATATCATTCTCTTATTTCAAAAGTGATACAAATTAAAAAATTAAGTTTTTCCGAAAAGAGGAAAATTTCGATATCCCACAAAATTATAACAAATCCAGAATAGTTTATCAAAAGTGAAGATATACAATAATTCGTAAAATCACCAACATTCATATTTAGCTAAAATGAAAATAAAACAAATTCAACAATTCAAACAATTTCTCCTTCAAACTTCGATCACCAAAACTGTCTTAATTCCAAACATTCTTTTGTAGAAGACTTTCCTTTTTATTTACAAAAATGACACAACTCAAAATATGTCACTCTTGTAGAAGGTAACATGATCTCTTTGAAAATCTCAAATGTTACATAGATTATATGAAGATTTACTTTTGATGATTGATATAGAGTAATCAATTCATTCATGTTATTAACTCGAAAAATCCATTTTTTTTAGTTGTGTCACTTTTAAAGAAAGTAAAGAAAAATAAATAAATGATAAATTTCGCGACAACTGTACTTGTCTTGTCGTGTTAGAAATCCAGCCTCTCCGAAATTATATACTGATTTCGATAGGAGAGAGATACGCGTAGACAGTAGCATACGAAGACGGTGAAAGCGAAGGGATGTAAAGAAAAGACTCACCAGAATACTGCCAAGCTCTCACAGTCTATGCACACGCAGTGCTGAGTATTAGTCTCGTAGTGCTGCAACGCGTGGCCAGCTACGTATCGTCCGCAATGCACGGATCCGCAGTGCAGACAGAGCCAGGGACTCTTCTCGGTGCCGCATACTATGCACGATAATAATATGACATGTAAATGACAGTCGCAAAATAAGTTCAATCGATGCTGTATTATCAATAATGAAATAGAGAAATCAGCATGTTACACATGCGTACAAGTGTGCGGAGACTAAATCCGTGGTTTTATTTAACTTTATTTTTATTGAAAAGTTTTACAATATATATTGAAAAGAAGTTTCACAATGTGTACTAAATATAAGCAAATCTGAATTAACGGAATTTATTATTTGTATGTTAACAGTATCTTGTCTGTTATCATCAATTTCCTGCATCAAGATAAATATATTAAATAAATACAATAAATAAATACATTAAATATTTCGTTCATGTATCTCAATAGGCATTTATTCCAAAGGTATCACATATACTCTCGTAAATGTAAACGAATGTAATGGAAGCTGGTAGATTATATGTTAATGGGAATATGGGTGGAAAAGTTCAGTTAGTTTACGATACTTCATTTAATATTAATAAATTTGTGTGTGCTATATTAATAGCAATATCTAAAGATATCTTATGAAGGATTATAGCATGCAAAAATATAAAGAGTAATTGTCACATGCTGCGCTTCTATTATCACGAATGTCATTGTTAGTCTCATATCATCGGTTAACGCTAAATGTGTGACCACTTTATTATTACAAGTAAAATGAAGTCAATCTTTTTATATTAGGTGTTGGAATTAATTCGTAGCGTTTTTAATGAAAGAATGTTATTTATTTCACATGAGCATTAAAAAATACATTAATGAAAGTACTTCCCATCACTTGTAAAACGCTACGAATTAATTCCAACACCTAATAGATAAAAGTCGATATGAAATGTGATTGGATTAGCGCTAAATATATACCTCTATAAAATTATCTGTTTCCAGAATTTCGATATAATTGATAGAATTATAATTTTTCTCTACAAAGAGTCTCACACTTTAAAAAGACTTTTGGCAATTAAGTGAAAGTGTAAGAATCTTCAAAGATACAGGATGCTGATATTATATGATAATTTATCATATTTGTTTACTTTTAGGAGAAAAGAAATTGATTTGTGTTCTAATATTTTTAAATAAAATTCTTGTTGCCTTTAGCAAAATATCTTAAGAAAATGCTAAATATCTGTAAAAAATTATGGAGGAAATTAAAAAATTTCTATGTACTAAACAAAAAATCACCGAATTTTTTCGTATCAATTTCAAAATGACTTTTCAAGAAGGTACTTGAAATTCGCAGAAATATCGTCAGATATTTATTGTATAAAAAAAAATTTATCACCCTCTCTTGACAACTTGAAAAATTATCGCTGGAATACCAAATACATTGTCAAAAATTTTCATTTTTGTTTCTATTTTCTGTCTTAAATATTAATCACAAGAATTTTTCAAAAACTGTAGAACTCTTTATAATTTTTGAAAAGAGGCCAAAATTTTTGTTAAACTATATAAAAATTCCAACAATGGAATTTTACAGAGGTGCTAAACATGGCGCTAGTAACGTATATAAGTTTTAACCGTAATAAGCTTTCAGTGGAAGATATATTACTCTTTCTTAAATAATTATTAACAATCTAACATAATCGAATCGACAACCATCCAGTCGCAGGGTATACTATATCTGGCGGTTGCGAAAGTGCAAATCGGCTTTGCCATGTCGTTTCGGCTCGTCTCATCTTACGTAATTCTCGAGAGACCGCGTCGAGAAAAGTGGGGTGCGGTGCGGGGTGGCGAACATGAGTTCGACACACCCCCTTCGCAACCTTCGATCGATCGCAAAATGTCTCAGAATTTCATCGGGCTTCAGATTCCTGGTGATTTGTGTTAATAGGAATTTTATCTAGAAAACACAATTTTTTGAATTTTATTCTCGCGAATAAAAAAAAAGAAGCCAAATCTCGAGTAAGTTTTATAATTGTGTAGATTTATATAGTTTTACAATTGCAAGATTTGTTGTTATAAAACAGATATATTTTTGACGATTATCGTATCCTGTTAAAGTCCGTATCATAATTAAATAAAAAAAGCAATAATTATAAAACAAGATGATTAGAAAAGACTAATAAATCACATAATAATAAAAATCACGGAATTCAAAGAATTTTAATTAAGACAATATAATTAAATTTTTATTATTATTGAGGCAATAATTATATTTTTTGTGTAAATACGGATATAATTCTTATGTGAATTACAAGAAACAAGCGATTGTAAAATTGAAAAATGACGAGTGTTCAGAACTGGATGACTGGAATCTACTGAATCAGGACATCGGAAGGCAGTAAATCCGTCAGCGCTTTGCATATGCAAAGCATGTACAGACGTATTGAAATTTGCATTCGAAACCTGGCATAATCTCTCTTTGAATTTTTCCCAAGGCAATCGCGTTATCTCAGCATTCGCGAACAACGTCGTGATCTTATACAATAAACAGGGTGAAAAAAGGAGACACTTCCCTAGAATGGAATTTAACAAGCGCGAATGCGTGAAAAGTGAAACGCCGAAAGTTTGTGCACGGAAATCCGATCTCGCTGAAGGTCGTTCCTATTTGAGGAATCACGTTCCTTTTCGATGCCGATATAGGAAGCCTTAGAACAGACCGCAGTGCTCTATCGGCACGTTTTAATCAGTGACCGTTGCCATGAGAATCTCGTGATACAAAAAATAGGAAGGAGTGAAATCGAATAGGTTTAGTTCGCGATAAAATCTCACTTGGAGCGACAGTTTTCCAAGATTGCTGTGGAGTTAAATATCCTTTTAAAACTGCATTAATTCATGTATATATTTCAAATAATGATCATTTTTTATTAGTCAAAAAAATAATTTTATTATTAGAAAATACATCTATACACTATAAAACTACACATAGTTATTTGCAATATCTTTAGGATAAGCTAGTTTTAATATTGCAAATATAAATTATATACAGCAGGAAATTATAACTCTCCCTACTAAAATCTTATCATTCAGATGATATTGCGCAATGCAATGGTATATATATTAATCTTAAATTAACTTTTCCTATATATAGGTACATTAATTATACTTACATATTATAATGTATATTAAGAAACATGATTTAAAAGAAACTAATTTGACTGATTAAAATTAGTTTACCGAACAGAGGATACAAATTACTTTATACCATTAAATTATGATTGACATTTCTTATATCCGTATACGGATAAAAAATGTTGTTTAACCATTACTGTTGATGTCTGCCAGAAATCGCTATCATTGAAATGACGTGGATGACATGAGATACAGTGATGTTGCTCAGAAATGTTCAATGTGTCATCGTAGATAACGAATAACATAACAAGGAATGTTATCATTCGAAAAAATACATAAAATTTTACAGTGATAGTACGCAATGTCGTTCGTACAGTACATTCGTTCATTCATTCAACGTCCGCTTGTTCAATAAAACGAATCTAACAGATCCTCGTGCCCGCGGATGTTCCTCGTGGATTGTTAGAGTAACTATTATTACGAACGATGTAACGATGATGAACAAGAGGGAAGTGATTAAATAACAAAATCTTATTACTTATTCATGTGAATCTTGTTTCTGCTTCATCATTTATTAATCGAGAGAGTCGAGTTCAAAGATACTAGCAGTCGCACATTAAAAAGTAACAACGAATACTTGTTTAAAGTGCATTTGAAATTAATGGAAAAATCTTTTGTTAAACTTTAAGGTTTTGAGAAAAAGCATATGTAGGAGATTATTTAATAATTGAAGCTAAATAAAAAAATTTTGCTTTTGGATGGAAAAAGTTTTAAATTTATAATAAAGCAATATATACTTTTTAAGAAAAAAATTACGCATAGGTCTAGATAAAAAGATCGTTATCTCGGAAACGATAACAAATATGATAAAATGTCACAAGACAATTTAGATTTTTCTCGACAAGACCTAAGCGAAAGGTCCTATGAGTCAAAACTGTATCTATCACCGTTATCGAGAAAACGTCTCAATATCCTGTGCGTAACGTTTTCTTGTCAAAGAATGTACAATGTACAATGTACATATTTCTTATATAATTTTTCGAATCTTGAATGGTCCAGTAATTTTTTTTATTTATAATGATATAACATTCACAAAATTCGCGCCTTAAGAATTATTGTATAGGAACAAAAGAGTTGGACAAAAGAGAAACCTAGAGAGAAACTTGGAGATGCACGAGTAACATGCGAGGATTGTGCTCGCGTCGTAAACACATAATTCATGGTTCTTCAATCGCAAATCATCGACGATTCTCGAGAGAAACAGCGACACAATCGATGTTTAAATTCTGAGAATTATTTTTGAGACTTACGTCAGCGAGCGTGGGGATGCACGGGCGTTACCAAAAATCGAAAGTTCCGATCATGGCAGAATTGAGACAATTGTTATATACGGAATACTGTCAAAGTATGAGAAAGGAAAATATCTATTTGAAGTAATGAGTCAGATGGTTTTTTTTTCCTCTACCTCACTATCCAACTTTGTAACGTTCTGCCATGTCTACATTGAAAAATGTGTATTAAATTTTAATAAATATTTGAATAGTAAACTAAATATTTACTAAATATAAAGATGTATTTATTTGGTACAATTATTTATTCTCTGAAGTTTCTAGAATTCATCCTGAAAAATTTTATTTTTAAACATTAAAAATGAAGCTACTCTTTTCCAAAATTAACTCAATTTTCACTATTTAAAGTGAGATTCTACTCCAAAGAATTTAGAGAGTAACTATCACTTTTTTATTAAGTAAATATTTATTTACTATAAGTAAATGTTTAATTACTAGCACTATTAAAAAAAAGTATGTATTAAAATTTAGCAAATTTGTTCTCAGTGTACGTCGATGATGTTGTTTTCATCCGAAATTTTCGTCGATGTATTGTTTCATCGACGAGTTGAAGGACGGTTATTAACTAAAAGAATTTCCGACGAAAAGAAATTCATCGAGCGCTGACATTTGTTCGGTCAAGTTTCGATACGTTGACTTGT